CGTTGGGAGGCAGCCTCCAGGGGCCTGGGGTCTGGAATGAGTTGTAAATGTTGTTCCTGTATCAAGCACTGTCCTGCTTGGCGAGAAGTGTCACTGGTACTCGGGAAGCTGGAGACAGAAGCTTCCCCTCCCTCGGGCATCCGACAGGGAGGGGAGGACCTGCCAGAAAGGCTGCTATTTGCTGGGCCCCGGCGACAGGCTGTGGAGATGAATCTCGGCAGTTTCCTGGGGCAGGAGGACATCTTGCATCCACGGATGGTTCTGGATTTCTTCGAAGGTTGGCCTATCTGATGGTCTCAGGGCCAAGCACCATCTAATGAGATGCTGACACTCTGCAGAAAGCAGGACAGACCAAGGTTAGGAATGACTCAACTGGTTTTTGCAAGGCAAATGTCTCCCAATTTGCTTCCCAGGGAAGCCCACAAGTCGAGGGTCCCAAGGAGGCCATGCATTTCCAGAACACTGTGCTCTTCAACGGGAAGGTATGAACCTGTATCTAGATCTTTCAGTGTGCTTTCAGCTAAAAAACAGCTACCCTCTTAAACCTGTGGTTTTCAAAACTTCAACAGTGGGGGCCTTTCCCACGACACCCACTCAACCTGGAATAGGAAGGGTGATGACAAGGAATTAAGATGAGACACCACTGAGCGTGATGAGGTGATTCATCTCACCTACTGACTCACAAACACGAACACCACCCACAATGAGGTCACTGGAACCACAGTATTTAGGGAGCTACTGCCTTAAGGGAGATGCTGAAAGAGGCCTCAACCTTTTACACCCTGGCTAAACAGCCAGGAGTTGAGGAGTCAGATCTCTGTTGGTACTTTAAAAAAAAAAAAACTTTTCAGAAAAACCAGATTGTCTTTCCTTCTTAATGTGCTCATACATGCTCTTCCTCTGACGTCCCAAGGAAAGCTCAAATGCAAACCACGTGATTTGTGGGGCCAGCTCGAGTGTAAATCCTTGGCCTGCAATCTAAGCCAAGGGTCATGGCACCTACTGAAGAGAGAGGCGCTCCAGAATTCCCAGACTGTCCCGGAAGGGCCAACAGCCTGTGATCCCTGCTCCTCCGTAACCAGGGGCTTCCACGTTACCTGAAGAGACCCTCTGCCTGAAGAACACTTGGCCCCTGACGATCTCTTCGTCGTGCTCAAAAGGAATATCTCCACACACCATATCATACAGCAGGATCCCTAGGGACCAGACGGCCGCCGACCTGCCATGGTAGCGATGGTAGCGGATCCACTCTGGAGGACTGTACACTCGGGTCCCTGCCAGCCAAGGGAACAGAAGAGAAAACACGCTTTTAGCAGAAGTACAAAGCAACTCTTTATTTGAAAAAGCACCACCTCCCTTCTCTCAGGAGCTGGGTGAACTCCACTTTCCCCCTGGGCTAAGAGGAGAATGGCAGAGTCCTTGATGGCATCTCTCCAACCCAAAGCATTACCCACCTCTCTACCAGCCCAAAGCATAAACTGAAAGTCTTTACAGATTGCTCCAAGAAACAAACAGGGCTGGCTGCAGACACGAAGCCTGAGGCCGTATGTGGTAGGACCACCCGCACAGGGATGAAGGGATGAAATGTCTGCACCATCAAGGGAGGTATCCGGCAGATGATCCTTAAACCGCATTCAACGCTGCCCGGGAGTCTGGGTGAGACTCTTATGGCAGACGGGATCGGTGCAAGCGCCCTTGCACCACACTCTAAGTCAGCCTGCCCTTTGGGAGGCCTTCCTCCCCGCCCTCTAGGGCAGGGGCAGACATCCACACCCTTTCCTCCCTAGACTGGAAAGGTAGACAGCGCTGCAGGGCTGGTCGCAGACCACGTGATTCCTGTTTACAAACTTTGGGTAGTAGAAAAAGGCGGGGCCATCCCGCCGGTGCTCACCAGGGGGCAGCAAAGACTTGCAGGAAAAAACATGGGAGGACCCGGCCAGCCATTAACTGTGAAATACAAAAAATGCAGCCCAACCCAGCGTCCTCCAAGGGCAAATAAACACAAACCACAAGCCCGAGTCACAAGTTTTGAAAGGCTGGTCGTTTGTTAGATTAAGCCGCTCAGATGATGACCCACCCTGCTCCTTTGATCTCAGGCTCTCCATTCCTTCCCTTCTGAAAGAACCCGCTCCAAGCCCCTCCCTAGGATAGGTTTCCATCCTCTGCGGAGCCTCCCAACTCATTTTCAAACCAGCAACAGATCTTATTTCACAACATTTATTCCTGACTCCCTCACCCCGTAATGCAGAAAAAAAAAGTGAAACTACTGCTCCCACCCCTTAACCTTCCCTAGATCAAAGAGGAGAAATAAACCGAAGCTCTAAAAACTACCTAACAGAAAACTCCCTTGTAGAACAAAACAAAAATTACAAGACCGGCATCAATTTTCATCCCCCTCATCCTTTTACTGGCGGGGAAACTGGGTCAGACTTCAGAAATCTGGGCTACCGCCGGTTGCCCACAACCTCCTATTCACCGGGAAAGCTAGGAGCCCACTGAATTCCACTCGAAGAATAAAATCATGCCAGAAACATCCCAGGTTCGGCTGGCTTGCAATGCCCGGCTTCACTACGCCGGGAAGCCCTCCCTCGTCCCACCCCTGCCAGCACCGGGCCAGGCGGCCCAATGACCTCTACAAAGAGCCGAGGCCTCCGGGCCGGCCGAGTCGGCCGGGCAGCTCCCCCCCAGGCCTGGCTCACCATCGAAGTCCGTGTAGACGGTGTCCTTGAGCAGCGCCCCCGACCCGAAGTCGATGAGCTTGAGCTCGCCGCGGTTGAGGTCGATGAGGATGTTCTCGTCCTTGATGTCGCGGTGGAGCACCCCGCAGTTGTGGCAGTGCCGCACGGCCTCCAGCACCTGCCAGAAGAAGCTGCGGGCTAGCTCCTCTTGCAGGGCCCCCCTCTCGGTGATGAAGTCGAAGAGGTCTTGCACCGGTTCGGGCCTCTCCAGGATCAGGACGAAACTGTCGGGCCTCTCGAACCAGTCCAGGAGCCTAATGACGCCGGAGAAGCCCGAGCTCACCTTCTTCAGCAGGACCACTTCCATGGGCACTCGGGTGCCATTGGGCTGCAGGGGCGAGGGAGCCGCGTTAGGGCGGGAGTTGGGGGGCGCCCCTCACCCCACCCACTCATTCTGGGGGTCGCTCCCTCCGGGGCACTCACCAGCTCTCCCCAGTCGGAAATCCGGTCCTTCTCCACGTGCTTGATGGCCACCTGGGAGACCCAGAGTCTCTGTGAGGTCCCCTTGCCTGGGCTAACGCGTACCCGTGCGCCCCCCGCCCGGCGCGCCCTCCCCGCGGCGGGGCGCCCACTCACCGGCAAGTTGTCGGCGACACGGATGCCTGAGTAGACCGAGCCGAAGCCGCCGCTGCCCAGTAGCGGGCCCACCTGGTACTGCGACTCCAGGGGCTCCTTCTCCTTGCCTGGGAAGGGGGAAGGCACGGGGGACTCAGTGCCGGCCCGCGAGCCCCAGCTCCCAAGCCTGGGGATCCCGCCGCCCTCCATCCCCGGGCTGGCGGGGTGCTCTCACCGGGCGCCAGCTTGGTGGCGTGCAGGTCGTTGCAAGGCGCGGCGCGCAGGTGGGCAAGCGAGTTGATTTTGGACAAGAGCATCCCAACCTCCAGGGTGTCGGCGCAGGGACCGTGCCCGGAGGAGCTGCAGCGGGAGCAGGGGTTGGGGCTGTGCCGGTGGCTGTGTCTATGGCTGGGGCTGCGCGTGGCGTTGCGGCTGTGGCTGCGGCTGGCGCGGAAGGCCGAGGGCGAGTCGGAGGACAACTGAGGGCGCTGCCGGGACTGGCGGCGGCGGGAGGGCGCGCCCGTGGGGTCAGGCAGCGCCGAAGGCGGCGGGGTGAGCGGCTCGTGGGGATCGTACGGCAGCGCCGCGGGACAGGGAGCTCGTGGCTGCTGCTGCTGCTTCTGCCGGTCCCGCCGCTGCCGCCGCCGCCGACTCCTCTCGGGCCTCCTCCGCCACCGCGGCCGCTGCAGCAGACGCCCGGCTCGCCCCGCCGCCAGGAGTAAAGGGGCGGAGCGCGCCGGCAGGGAGGGAGCGCGGGCGGGCGGGGACGGGGCGGGGCCTCGCCGGGAGGCCAAGGCGGGGAGCGGGGCTGCCGGGCAGGCGGAGGGAGGAGAGGGGGTGGGGAAGCGCCGGGACCGGGCGACTCCCCTCGGCCCTTGCCCCGCGAGCTCCCGGGCCGCGCCCCGGCCCCGCCCCGCCGGCGAGCCTCCAGCCAACCAGAGGCCGACCGATCTGCATAACGCCGCGCGCTCCGCCCCCGCCCCGCCCCGCTCTCGCGGTCAGAATGGTCTCTACGCCGCCACGACGTGGCGGGAAGGAAAAGGCGCCAAAATGGAGGGGGAGGGGCGCGGGGCTGGAGGGGAGGCGGGAGCTGGGTGTAGGGCCGCGAGGGAGGAAGGATAGGGAGGGGCGTATCGATTCAAACCCAAACAATAACAAAGCCATCAAAGGCCGCCCGAGGCCGGCTCTGCGGCTCTGGGTTTCTCGGAGGTTTTTGGGTCTAGGGCTGGAGCTGGAGCATAACAAGTTGCGCGGAGACGACGGGCGTTGGTGTGTCAGGCGGGGAGGCCGGCGCGCCGGGGTGTGAGGGACTGTGTGTGGGGATGCCGACGAGGGTGGTCTTTCCGTGTGACTCAGACCCGAGACCTCCAAGTCTGCTTGGGCGGGTTGACGCGCGGTAGGCTGGGGTTGGATCCCGGGGGCTGTGTCGGGGGCGTGCGGGGGGCGCAGGATCCGCAGGACGTGAGTCACGGCGGTTTCACGCAGGGAGTGGAGGAGTCCCAGGCCTGCGACGGAACTGGGGGGAGCTCCGCTTCTGCTTCGGGAGAGGGTGGCAGACCTCGGTCGTTGCAGCGGGTTAGAAGGTCGGCCCTGGGATTCTCATTTAGCAAAATGCCGAACGGTGCCAGCGAATCCCGATTCCTGAGAAGTGATGTGTGTCAAAGTGCCCGATAAAGAGGAAATCACGAAACAAACGTTAGCGTTATGATGCCAGATGCTGCCTCAGCCCCTTCTGCGCGGGCGGGAGTGGGAGGAAAATTCCTCGTCTAAAACGAGGGTGGGAGGGCGCGATTGATTTAATCGGAGTTTTCACGTTGTAGTCGCCTTTTCACCAGTCAGGCAATACCAGCAATTATTAGCCGACCCCAGCCTTGTCTCAGAGGAAATGCCCCCCACCTCCGCCCCCGCCATGGAAATAGCACGGAAAGCCGGCCCATTCCACTTTCATCCTTTGTCCTTTCAAACTTCATGTAGAGTTGATAACGACGTGTGAAATGAGTAAACTAAAATTCTATGTAATCCATAAATTGAATTGTCAGTGGCCTAAGTACTTGAAAGCTAAGTACATCACGTTTTAATTTTTTCAAGTTCCCGCCGTTTAAAGGAAAAATGAGCATCTGTATAGCCGCAATCATTAATGAATTTAAATGTTTCCTTTAAAAGTTTTCGGCACTGCTTGTTTTACAAAAAGCCCAGATATTCCACAACTTTTATGAATTTATCTTATAAAATATTACATATTTTCCTTTTGTTCGTGTGCCGTGGCCTAACTCGTTCATATTTAATGACTAGGAGAAAACCCAAGGGAGCTACAATTATTCCCTTTTTGCAGATAGGAAAATGAAACATAAGTAGGATGACACAGGGTCATACAACAGCTAATAGAACAGCTAAGGGAGGAGAATGAAATGACCCAAATTCAGCTCCTGAGTATCAGAGCTTTCCACTTATCTTGGTTTAAAACTGTCCTTGGCACTGAACCGGACATCAGTAAATGTACGTGACTGCCGCCCGCATCCCTCTATCCCCCCATTCCTTTATCCAGCCCTCAGACTTAGCCAAACAGGACTATTCCACCTTGTTCCCACTCACCTAGCACTTTCCAGACTTTCTGCCTTTGCAGAGCCGGTCAGCCTGGCTTGGGAGTGTCCTCTTCTCCTCTCCACTTTTATCCAAAGCCTTTCCAACCTTCAGGAAACAATTGCAGTTCTACCACAGATTACTGAACTCCAGGCATTGGTTGACCGTCCACTTCACTCATCTGACAATTGTGGGGTTTAAAAAAAAATCATTTTGTTCATTAACATTTCAATCGTTTATATTTTGTCGTCTTATTCCTTGAATGCATACTTTATCCACGTTTGTCGATGATGGAGAAAACCGTAATGGGTCCCAACAAAAAGGTCATAATTAAAATCAATTTAAACCAAATTTAAGTGAATTAAGCAGGCTTAGGCAAAATAAAATACAGGTTAGGGGCAAAGGCTTTAAACTGAGTTAGCCTGATTTCAAATCTGGGCCCTGGCACCTTACTGGATATGTGACATTGGTCAAGTTACTTAACCTTGCTAACCTTTAGACCGAATGCAGATAATAGCAGCCACCTCACAGGGCTGTTGTAAGGAGCAAATAAAATTCTGCTTGTCAAGTGTATAACCTAGCACAGCGCAATCGTCTAATAAATATTAGCTGTGATAATGGCAGTAATGCTGATGGTGGTTGTGACAATGATGATGAAAAGGAAGATTTTTGGAATGGTCTTACACTTTGTGTACACTTTGTATACCTTCCTAAAGGTGAAATGCTGGATAGATAGTTGGATTTTAACCATCTTGGGAGAGAATGTGATTCAAAATAGTTAGATACATTAAATCAAGTTCAACCTTATTTTTTCACTTTCTCCAGGTCTTTGCAGAACTAAATATTTAATTAGTTAGAGCTATAGTGATTAACATTTAATATATATCTGCTTTATCTGGTGGGTGCTTCACAGCTGGAAGTTATAAAACATGGACCTTGCTTGGCAAAGAGCTTTTATTTACTTAAAACTGCTTTGAAAGATAATTATTAAACATTCAAGTGTGTTTGCATTAAAAGTTACTCTTGAAGCGTACAGAACTTGATGTTTTGATTCATCAAAATACAGTTTTAATAATAAGCACCACTTGTGCTGTCTCAAAGAATCTGACAAAGAATCAGAAAAATCACCCGACTAATTAAATGACAAGTGCTTATGGAAAGATAAAGGCCATAATTATGCTAACAGTTCTCTGGAAAGAGGAGCATTTGTTAATATTAATTTGAACAATATCCAAATTAATCATTAGATGGTTTCCATACTCTGCCTGATATGGATTTAATCAAGTCATTGTCAAAGGAATGACTTCAGCAATTTCTACAATCATCAAGTTTAGAAGTAAGTTTGAAGGGTATGCCTGTATCTCAATTTTTTTTAAAGTACCTCTAAGCCTACCCAATGCATTTACGTAACCGGGATCGCATAGCTCTTTCTTTATTAACGATTCACAGTTAATCAGGTGGAGAAGATTTGAGTCTGTATCACTTATTTTTCTCCTAAAAAAAAATTACTCCATTTTTTAAGTTTAAAGTTTAATTTTGAAAAACCCATCACTTTTTATTTTATTTTCTCATTATTTGGTGAAGTAAGAAAGGGGAAAATTTGGAGAAAACCAACTGCAATACACTTCTTTCCATAGCTCAAAACATCAAAAATTACCTCAACAGCTATAAAATTATTTAGAAAAATTAAATATATATTTGAAAATCTACCAATTGTAAGACATGAAGCATTCTAAATTTAAAAATTTAAAGCCTCCTTTTTAAGTTGTCATAACTGTGGTAGTGGCGGACAGCTAGGAAAGCCAGAGTGTCCCAACTTCAGAATGGGCAGGGACTCCGTGCAGTGAGGTTAGAACTGGTTCTTGTCCTTGATAAGATGTGACATTTGTTTCAAGTTTGTAAATCTCTTTGAGCCAGCTTTCAGTTTCCTCAGCAAGGTTAGAGAGAGAAAGGGTTTTTATTTTATAGTAAAGTGTATTTAAATTCATTCCCAATTCATTTGTTTTTTTTAAAGGAAATAAAAGTGCCCTAGATTTATTTTTGGAATTTTACACATTCAATACTGACAATTTAAGTAAAAATAATCGATATTTATTGAAGGCACTGTACACAAAGATTTTATAGTTCCTAGAGTATTGCTGGATAGGTGAAAATAAAAAGGAGTAGCTTAGAACATATAAAGGCTACAGGAAGCCTGGAGACTGTTATAAAATACCTTATTAGAAGACTAGGAAAATGTATGCCTCAGATCAAAAAGACCAGGCACATGAACAAAAACTCTGCATGTCTAACTGACAAAGAAAAGGGGCCGTCGTGCGTGTGCGTGTGCGTGTGTGTGTGCGTGTGTGTGAAAGAGAGAGAGAATGTCATATGTCTGGGAGTTGGTGAAGGGATTGTCTGCCATCTTTTAAAAAGTAGAATAAAATTAAGACTTTGGAAAAACCACAAAGTGCATCTAGGTAAGAGAAAAAAATATTTGCTCAAAAAGATTTTGTGGAACATTCTACTAAGCCTTACAAAAATGCTAATGAAAACATTTCTTTATTGTATATCTCGTTTGTCATCTAATAGTGTACAGCCTCATTATTCTCTATTGGTCTCGTCTCTACAACTAGATTATAAATGTATTGAGGGCAGAAACCATCATCCTTTCATTGAACAAGAAGGCTAAGTGCTGACAATGGGTTGGTGGAAGGGGCAAAAGAGACACTGTACTAACAGCCAACGTCGACTGAGCACCAACGTTGTGCTAGGCGTTGTTGTAAGCACTATGTATCTTCATATAAATCCTATGACATGGGCAGTCTTACTATCTTCATTGGTTTACAGATAAATAAACTAGAACAGAGAGAAGTAATTTGCCCAAAGCTATACAGCTGAGAGGCAGAGTAATCTCCTACCCGCCCTGTCACTTTGCTTTTCCAAGGAACATGAGATGAGTTTAAGGGATTTAACAGGGTATTCTCTGGTTCAGTTCTGATGGTCTCATCCACAAGGCCAGGGTTCAGAGGAGGCTGAAGAGGTCAAGGGAGGCTCCATCGAGGGGGTAGACCCTAACTCAGATCTTTTTTTTTTTTTTTTTGACCTCTGTCGCCCAGGCCAGAGTGCAGCGGCATCATCACAGCTCACTGCAGCCTCGA